CTTGAGCATGTACCATGGATCAAACCCCATATGAGCAGTTAGACACACAACAGAAAACAAAACAGACAGGACCTTGCTGTATAAAACTTAAAATCTAATGGAAGAAACTAAATTCTATACAGATTCTCCCATCACACCCTGTCCAGGTAAACCCAATTTTGTTTTGTGTATATTCTGCCAAATATTTTTCATATTTAATACACTTCAGATAGTGTGTATCACATTCTATGAATTATATTTTTCCTTTTTGCTGTGTAAAGATTAGGGCAGCTTCTTGTGCATTCAGATACTAATTTTGAAGTTTTAGACAAGATGACCCAAAAAGGATGGTAAAGAAAGAGCTTAGAGCTGGAAGGGATTTCAAACATGATCCATCTCTTTACAATCTCTCTTTAAAATCTTCTTATTCAAAGCTGTATGATCAAATAGGTGCATTTACATGAGGTAACACACATTAAGTAATTTAATAAATTTTGAGTGTCCCCTTTCAGCAAGATGATATTCGAAATATGGTTTGCTCACTAAAGCAAATTTCTAAGAAAATGTAATTTTTCTGAAACAAACAAAACCCGTAGAGAAGAGCAAATAATAAGTACTTTTGCAAAATTCATAGTCTCCAGTTTATAAAATAAGAATTCAAAAAAGAAAAAAGAAGAGAAAAAATTTCAAGCTAATCTGGAGTATGGGGAGGCAGATTTCTTGATTTTTCTGGCTGCGGTCATATATACTAACATTTTAGTTTTATTCATCTAGATTATTGGAATAGTGGCTGTTTTAAAGATACATAAGCATTTATATTCTCTGTCAGCTATCTCTGTAGGGAAAAAAGAACGTACACAGTAGAGCACATGAAAAAAATGCATGCGTGATGATAGAGTTGTACAAATTTATTTATTTTGGGTTATTATAGCCCTTTCACCCTTTATACTCATTCAAACTCCCATTTTTAAAAAAGCATTCCTTCTACAGGGAACTGCACAGAAAATGTGACATTGGTGATTCTGCTTACTCTGCTACTAAGAATGTAAGAAATAGTTATAGTATATGTCACTATAATTTATGACTGGGCAGTGACAATAACTTAAAGACACAGAATAGAACCCAACTACCTAGCGTTAAGTAGTGGATGAGCTTGGAGTATATCATTTTGTTGATATTTCTATCTCTAACACTCAACAAATTATTGCCCCTGCAATTCCTTGCATTTTTTACTTCCTGGAAATGTCACATGTAATCCAACATAAAATGGAGACCATTGGTGCACTTTTCACTCAGTTTGTTACTATAAGTAAGAGGTTTTTTTTTTTTTTTTTTTTTTTTTTTTTGTTTTTTCTTTTTTTTTGAGATGGAGTTTCGCTCTTGTTACCCAGGCTGGAGTGCAATGGCGCGATCTCGGCTCACCGCAACCTCCGCCTCCTGGGTTCAGGCAATTCTCCTGCCTCAGCCTCCTGAGTAGCTGGGATTACAGGCACGCACCACCATGCCCAGCGAAGTTTTTGTATTTCTAGTAGAGACGGGGTTTCACCATGTTGACCAGGACGGTCTCGATCTCTTGACCTCGTGATCCACCCGCCTCGGCCTCCCAAAGTGCTGGGATTAGAGGCGTGAGCCACCGTGCCCGGCAAGAAAGAGGTTTTAAGGTAAGAGCTGAAATATTCAACCCAATTCAATACAACATTTATTGAATATCCAGTATTATGGCTGCACTATAAGAAGGTACAGTAAATGCTATAAGTGAGGTCTTAAATACAAAACAAAACAAAGCAAAACAAAACAAAACAAAACAAAACAGAAAATTACTACCTCCTTATGAGGAAGGGTGGTTGGTATTGAACACTTTCTTTCCCATAGGGCTCACAAGTCTATTGGCTCTATAGCCACTTTTTGAAGGAAAGCTAAGAGTAATAAATTAAGACTAAAATAACAAAGGAAAATATTATTTAGGAAATTTTATCCATAAGGTCCACCCTGCTGTAAAACAGTAAATGTATCTAAATGTTCTGTTTCGTTTGCTGCCAGTGGAGAGGCTCATAAGAGTTGGAGATGTTATCCCAAAGTGTTTTCAGATAGGATCTCGGTGGCATTTCAGTTTAATCCTCCCAGTTCTTTAGGGGACCAACTCCGAATTTATCTTACAAGAGGGCAGTAAACATAAAGATTACTCCTCTGGGCCTTCCCTAACCAGATTTTCAGTTATTCTCAGACAGAAGGAAAAGTGTATCTGCCTTCAGAAGTCTGTCTACAAAATATTCTCTCCTGTTTGTGTTTAAAGAGTCATCTCTCAGGAACAGCAGCTGTCTCTGTTACAGCAATTCCTTTATTTATTCATTTGCTTACAACCAGCATTCGCTAACTGCATGAGGCCTACAGAAGACATCAAGATATACAGGGAAGTATTATAGAGAATATTAGGATGAACACATAAACTAGGAATGCCCAGCCTAGACTTGAGCCATCAAGGAAGGAAAAGCATGCTGAGACTGGAAATACAAAGAATCACGTCAAGTGTGTGTGTGTGTGTGTGTGTGTGTGTGTGTGTGTGTGTGTTTTCCCAGAAAGTTCCAAGCAGGTTGACAGAATACGCAGTTTCAGAGACAAGTGAAATTCCTTTAGAAAATTACTAGTAACTTACAACCTTGTGTTATGCCACAATTTAAACGTTAGGTGTGGCAGGTTTTACATAAGCTTTCTGCATGTGTGTATAAAGAATGAATGCACAAGTTGAGAAAAAAAAAAAAAAAAAAAAAAAAAAAAAAAAAAAAAACCTTTGCTTCATAAACACAGGCTAACTTGCTTGATGTAGACAGAATGAGGGGAAACTTGGAGCCCTGAACATTGTTGTTTTTAATTTCATCCTACTGAGATACTGACCCTGGCTTTTCCTGTGCAGCTTCCTGTGTTACTGTCTGTGTGACATTTAGAAAGTTAGTTCACCATTGGAGCCTCAGTCTTGTCGTGTGTAAATTGGGAGCAGTAATCGTACCTATCTTAAAGGGTGGTTGTGTTAAATGAATTAGTACATATAAAGAGCTTAGGACATTGCTTGATGTGTCTCCTTGTAAATGTTCTTTTCCTTTTCCTGTGAGATGGAGTCTCATTCTGTCACCCAGGCTGGAGCGCAACGAGGTGATCAGGGCTTACTGCCACTTCTGCCTCCCGGGCACAAACGATTCTCCTGTGTCACCCTTTGAGTAGCTGGGACGACAGGCATGTGCCACCACACCTGGCTAATTTTTGTATTTTCACTAGAGATAGAGTTTCACCATGTTGGCCAGGCTGGTCTCGAATTCCTGACCTCAAGTAATCCACCTGCCTTGGCCTCCCAAAGTGCTGGGATTTCAGGCGTGAGCCACTGCACCCAGCCATGAATGTTAATTTTCATTATCATTATATATTAAAATTCTTGCAAAAGTGTGAAAAAGAAAAATTAACCCACTGACTTTGAGGGATGTATATTCTGATTATCCCTTACAGTAGGGAAAATAAGTTGTCTTTAATGAAACATAAAATAGTTCACCAAGAGCCTTCTTAGTAACACCAAACCAATGGCAACACAAAAGACAGAGTTCACTTTAACTCTCCGAGATAAATCAAGTCCATTTTAAAGTAACTAAAATGGTTCTCTCTCTCTTTTTTAAAATAATACCATTCCCTAAACCCAAAGGCCTAATTCTGCTTGAGAGCTGTTTTAAAATATGACCTGTTTCTTTCAAGTTTCTCATTTTATTATTTATCCTCTTGGCACTCCCAACTTTTAAATAAAAGTGAATGTATTTCTTTTAAATAAGAGGAGGTCTGTGCAGTGCTCACGTCTAGATTCTGATAGTGCCAAGAGAATTTTTTTTTTCAAAGCAACAGTTCATGCTCAGCCAGCGCCAAAACGGAACTTAAAGCTCAAAGGGTTTGACTAAATTTAGAAACCACGATGTTCAAGTGGTTCTAAATTTGACAAAGCTAACTAGAAGCTAACCAAAATCGTACATAAAATGATCTTTTTTATTATGACAACGGAATGGACAAGATGTTATTATCCTAAATTTAGAAAAATCAGACCAATAACGAAAGATGAACAACTTAAGGCTGAAAATGAAACAAATGCATTCTTATTCCAGAATAAGGAATTATAATATCTTCATGAATATTTTGAATGACTTTTCTGATGTTATGAAGTTGAAAATATCAAAAGTACTAATCATATTAAAAAGAAAAAGAGAAAACTGTTCCTATCAAGTGTGTGGTCTCTATGGTAAAGCTTCCAATCTGAGTTTCAATAGTGTCAAGAGCAGCTGGTGTTTGACATAGTTCATAAAATGAATTTGAGTTGTCCACCTGGTTTTTCATTCCAAGCTTGTATATTTCATACATAACATTACACAGTGATATGTTAAACAGAATTGACTTAGTCTTTTTTCTGTGTCTGATTATTTTAATTCTGTGTGACATTTCTTGTTCTTAAAGCTTTCTGTTTTATTCCTAGAACATGCCTTTGCTTCATTCATGAGGCTACCATCAGGTACACTGATAAAAACCTGCTGAATTGTTTTTCCAGGGCAGAAATTTTAGGTTGTATCAGGAAAGGCAAGATTAACTGCTAACATACTACAGTTGTACTTTGAGAATATAGTGAAATTATTATTTTAAGAAATAGTGAAACAATTAAATGCATATGATGAAATTTTCTACTTTATTGTAAAATAAAATATAGAATAGAGTACATATTAAGTTTTAGCAATAGTGCTTTAAAAATAATAGTAACACAGGATTTTTACTAATGTCAAAGTTATCACTGGAAGTTAACTTTGAGTCAAGTTAAAGGTGAAAATCATGCATCTTCTGAGAGAAAGAAAATTTTCATTAAAAAAAAACTTTATAGTCCAAATCAAACTTTAAGAGCACTACTCCAGTTTCACTGGGTGTTCCCCAGTCCTTCTACTGGCCTTTAGTGCAACTACCTAGATTTCCTAAGGGTCTCTATTAAAGTAAGAGCATTTTCATTTCAGAATTCCTGTGAGCAGGTACACATAAACAGATAGCAATAGAAGCTAAATTTTAAAATGATGAACCTTTTCCAATTCGATCACTTCTGATCAATACAATGTCTGATTTTCATAAGACCTCAACTAAAATTCAAACTCAGATGTCAAGAAGGTTTAAGTAACCCTCCCTCCAGTCTCTGTAAGTATATATTAGACTTGGAAACCAATAAAGTTTTAGACCAGGAAGATTATCGCATGTAATGGGAAAGCTGAAACCCTAATACTTTTATTGCATATCTGCCTTACTTCCAAAAATAATTTCTTGCCATGTTCCATGAACATGAATGCATCAGTAAATTACTTTGGATCGTGAATTTGTACCGTTAACAGTACCAAGACTCTGGGTTTTCTGTTGGTTATTTATCTCCAAGTTCATCACACAGTATTTGAACAAGGCACCAAGAAACTAAATTAAATCATACTGAGTAATTGAAGGTAATTGCAGGTCATTCTATTACCGTCTACAGGTAAATGCAAAACATTTTATTCAGGGTTTAACAAAAGTATGTTGATAGTTCTCTTCACAGTAACATATATTTTTATTGTAAGGACTTAAAATATGCAGATAAGCAATATATGACATGTCCAAAAATAACTAACATTATGATCTGGGGGTGTAATAACTTTATACATGTTTATAATTTGATTTATATTTATCCAACAAATCAGTTAGGATCCAATCAAGAGAGGAAAACCACAGGGTAATTTGAAGAAAGAAGTTTGTGAGTTTTTTTTTTTTTTTTTTTTTTTTTTAACTGTAACGGAGGTTTGGAGTAATGGGGAAGTTGCAAAAGGCAGTAAAATAATTTTAAGAAATATAGAAATAACAGATATATGGACTAGCCACTATCCCTGGAGTTGAGCTAGAGAGGGGCCAAGGGGCCAAGTGAGCATGCTGTGACCACAGGCACTCTGCTATTGCCCAAGGGAGGGAGCAACAGGGAAGTGGCTTGCTTCCATGAATGGCAGGAGCCATGTGCAAGAGAAGCCACAGGCTCCCAAGAGTGAGGCTGGATGAGTGACTGAGTAAATGAATGAGTCTCATCTTACTTACCTGACATTTTTTATCAACTTTTAATTGATGATTTTCCTTTCCTTTTAGTGCTGTCTTCTAGGTCTTCTTCCCACTCTATACTCTCTCTGGGAATCTCTTTACATCCCACAGCCATTGAATCTTAAAAATAATACAGGAAACAATTGAATGAAATTTCCAAGAACTTAAAGATATAGATCGCTTTTTTTCCCTAACATCTAGAACAGTACCTACCATAGTAACAATACCTAATAATATTTGCTAAATAAATAAAGAAAAATTCCACTGAAGAATCGACATAATAGATATAACATATTTAAAAGGATATCATTATGAAATTATAGGACAATCCATATAAATATTTGATGCTAAAAACTTTTGCAAAGTTAAAGAGGATCACACATGGGATTTATAACATAATGTTTAGAGTTCTGAAAGAAGACTAACTCCAACCTAGAATTCTATGCTCCATTTAAAAAATTAATCAGAAGACAAAGATTAAGTAAAGCAACTTACAGACATGTTAGATCTAAAAATATGTATTTGGGATTCAACCTTCTGTGGGAAGATATACATCACCAAAATAATGGAATAAATAAACAAGACATACGATTAATGAAAAATGATTATAACACAGGAGAAGTTGAAAAGAATTCAAAGAATTCCTGGAATAATTATGAAGGGAAATCCAAATACGTCAGCCATTCTGCAAGTCTAGAAAGCCCAAGGCTTTTGAGAGCATGAAGACAAAAGCATGAATATCTCCAGGAAACACAAAAGGAACCAATATATTCATGACATGTTACCCAGTGAGACTGACCATAAGCAAACATAAACAAAACAATTTTTATAGGTGTTTCAGTGTTTGCAGCAATCTATGAAAAAGAAAAGACAAAGGATTATTTAGATAAGGGTACAGATCTTAGTAAATGACCTGGTTCGTAAGTGAACAATACAACACAACTTTTACAAAGTTGAGTGCTGAACACTGAAGTAGTAATTTAAATACAAATTCTGATATAATTTTATTGAGAGGAGGGAGAGAGGAGTGGAGGGCATTTGAAAGACAAAGGAATCTTTTTCTATTTTATTTGGTAGATATTTTTATTTCTATGATCTCCCCCCTTTCAATAAAACTGTATCAGAATTTGTATGTACATTACACTTCAGTGTCTCCTCTCCCTCTTTTGTCCCTAGGGGCCAGAGTTTTTGTTATTATTTTGAGTCATTGATTTTTAAACAACTAATACATATTAGCTTTGGGGAGTTTTTTCTTGTTGTTTTTGGGTTATTTTATTGAAAATATGGGGTTAAGGAGCAGAGGATTTTCTATCTGAGAAGATAAGATGAGCAAATAGAAAATAAAATGTTGAAGTACACAATGACTGGTTTCTAGGACTCTTCTGTCACTAACTGAACTATCGCAATGTGAGTTCCTGCTGATTTTTCTATCGTCAATCTCTCCCTTTAATCCTGTCTTTCACGGGGTTTCCAAAATTATCTCCTAATCACAGATCTGCTCATTCACTTCCTTGTTCAAAAGCCCAAAACAACTACTGACTGACCACGTTAAACTCCTCCGTGTGACATTTAAGGCTCTATCTAGTCTAACTCCAACCTAACCAGGGTTTATTTCTTTATTAATCAATGTTATAAAGCTACATCCTAGCCGTAAAATGTTATTTTCTCATCTCGAAATAAGACAATCCTTTGGCATTTCCATCCATTTCTCTTTTGTTAATTTTGATAGGTTTGGGGGGCACAGGTGGTGTTTGATTACATGAATAAGTTCTTTAGTGATGGTTTCTGAAATTTTGGTACACCCATCACCCAAGCGGTGTACACTCTACCCAATATGTAGTCTTTTATCCCTCAACCTTCCCCACTCTTTCCCCTGCAAGTTCCCAAAATCCATTTCTTGGCCCAGAGTTCCTATCTTTTGCTCTTCCCTCTTTCACCTACCTTCTTTTCTATTTTTTTCATACACAAGACAGAAAGGCCCAGGAAAACTTCTCCAGTCACCTGAATTGACATATTATCATCCTTCCTCCTGTGTTCCCACAGTGCATTATGTTATTATTATAACACTAGCAACATTTTGTTTTGGGTCACAGTATGTATCTTACACCCATCTGATCCACAGGACAAAATTCCCTCTTTCCTTGAGGGGAGAATCCCTGTGTCTTACTCAGAGGCATGCTTCTGTGAATGTTTAACACGATGCATACAAAGAGTAAGTATGCAAGAACTGCTTGTTGAATTTTAAGCAAAAATTTTAAAATTGCATAAATATGGATGCATATTACTGCTAATATTCATAATGAGGCTATCAAAGGTGTGGCCAAAATGTTCTAAATACAAAATATTTTCATGTTTTGTCATTTAGAAGGAGAAATTCAAGACTCAGCAACCAATTTTTTAAAGGCTTCCAATGACTTCCAAAGGCTTCAGAAAATTATTCCAAAAGTTCTAGAAAACTTACGTTTGAAATAATTTATACAAAAATTATTGGGAAAGCCCTAACTGGTATTTCCCAGATATATCGAAATTAAATACAGTAAGAAAATCCAAAGTCTCATAGGTGTTATAAATAGTGGCATTTTTATTAGCAAGATAATCTATTCAATTCTACGGAAGATACAAAACTGAGAAAGTCTTAATAATTGTAAGCTAGAGACCTACAGATTTTAATGCTTGACTTTTTTTTCCAAGACTGCTCATTCAGTCATTCTTCATTTATTTATTTACTCTTCAGTATTTTTTTAAAAAATGTCTATATAGTTCAGGAGAGATATGCATCTACAAAGAAAGAAACTTGGTGAGGTTTTTCCCCCCATCTACTCATTCTCTTTGTCCTCTAACAATTTATGAGTTGGTCGAATACATCAACTTTCAAATTTGAGCATGAGTGCTTTCGTGCAATAGTCCAATTAGCCTTGTAAGGCTAAACATGTCAATAACAGAAAGCCGAGTGTATTTTGCAGCAGGGTTTTCAAGCATCTCTCCACAGCAACTGTGTCAAGTATACTCACAGCAGATGTGAGCAGTGCATGTGGTGCAGTTTCCTAAGGCTCTATCTGCAAATCAAAAATACTTATTATTAGAGACATCACAATTTGTACTCCACTTATTTTAATATCTTTTACAAACTTAATGAAACAACTCCAGCTGTGACAGGTCAATGTGGAAAGAAGAAATTAAATGTGCAATGAGTGTTGTTCTTAAAACTTAGAAGCTCCCAAATTATATGTAACTCAACATTTCTTGAAGGACTTTTACCACCCTGCTAAGTATGAATACATTGGGGCAACACTTTCATAAATGCCAGGTTGTGAAATGATTTGGGATTTAAAAATATTTGAATTCCAAAAATTAAAAAGTGAGTAACAAATAATATCAAGATAAATTATTTATCAATAGTCATTTTAAATGTCTCTGCAATCATTTTCCTATTTTATAAACATCTATACTGCATACCATCTGCTGATGCTTATTTTAATTCATAAAAAGACTATGTTTAAATCAAAATGTAAGTGACAGAATCAGAACAAAAGGGAAAGGGCAGGAGAATAAAGTGAATAAATTCCAAATATGACTTCTAAAGGCAGACAATATAAAAGCTATAATCTTAGTTTAAGCCTTACACTCCTTAAACACAGTAATTACAAGACATCTGCTGGGAACACAGCTTTGCTATTGGATAACCTTAATTGCCCTGTAATATTTCCTGACACTCCCCAAAATATGCCCCATTGCTAATAATTCATTCACATTTCAGCACCATTATTAACTACTAATTCAAACAATCAAGACAAAGACAATAAATGGATGACCTTGAACAATTACCCACTCAGTGAACAGAATTTATTTTGTGCTTTTCAAAGATGTGAATGCTTTCCTGCGACTGTGAATAGCACTCCAAAATCAGGCAAATGCAGACAAGAGAAAAAAAATCATGGCATAAATGCAATGTTCCTTCTCTGATATTCTTAGAGGAATAGTGTCAAAACTTACCCACATATTATGTTTTATCTAAGAAAAATAAAAGGAAGTATGAAGTTTTAGCACAAAAAATATTCTCCTTATAATAAATAGAGATAATTTAG